ATTGTTGGTTGTTGTTTATGCAACGTGCATTTGGACACCACGAAGAAATTAATCCTAACCTTGTGGATATTGCGAAAAAATGTGGTAGTGTGCCTCTAGGGGCCAAGCCTCTTGGAGGTATTTTGCGCTTCAAGAGAAAAAAAAGAATGGGAACATGTGAGAGACACTGAGATTTTTAATTTGCCTCAAGATGAAAGTACTATTTTGCCTGTCTTGAGACTGAGTTATGATCATCTTCCACTTGATTTGAGACAATGTCTTGCATATTGTGCTATATTCCCAAAGGATACCAAAAGGAATAAAGAAAAGCTAATCTCTCTGGATGACACACAACTTTCTTTTATTGAAACGGAACATTGAGCAAGAGGATGAAGTATGGAAATAATTATGCTAGAGGTTCTTTTTTCAAGAGATTGAAGTTAAATCTGATAATACTTATTTCAAGATGCATGATCTCATCCATGATTTGGCTACATCTCTATTTTTGGTAAGCGCATCAAGCAACAATATCCACAAAATAAATGTAGGAGATTACTCACATAGCATGTCTATTGATTTCATTGAATTGGTGTCTTTTTACTCTAGTCCTTCACTGTTGAAAAAATTTGTCTCGTTAAGAGTACTTAAGCTAAGTAGCTCTGAACTGGAGCAGTTACCATATTCCATTGGAGATTTAAGATACAAGTACCTCGCTGGCAATAGTATTCGTAGTCTTCCGAAGCAGTTATGAAAGCTTCAAAATTTGCGGACTCTTGATAAGTAGTATATTTCCATTCACCTTGTTGTTTGCCAAAACGAACAACTATAGTCTCCAAAATCTTTTAATTCATGGTTGCGATGAATTGACTTCTATGCCACCAAGGATACGATTTTTGACATGCCTTAAGACTCTAAGTAGATTTTCTGTGGGAATTCGAAAAAAAGGTTATAAACTTGGTGAACTACAAGACCTAAAACTATATGGCTCAATTCCAATCACACATCTTGAGAGAGTGAAGAATCATACGGATGCAAAAGAAGCCAATTTATTTGCAAAAGGGAATCTGCAATCTTTAAGCATGATTTGGAACGAACCGGATAGATATGAATAGGAAGAAGTTAAGTGCTTGAAGCCCTCAAACCACACCCCAATCTGAATTCTTTAACAATCATTGGCTTTAGAGGATTCCATTTCCCTGAGATGATGAATCACTTAGTTTTGAGAAATGTTGTCTCTGATAGAATTAGAGGTTGTGAAAACTGCTCTTGCTTATCACCCTTTGGTGCGCTGCCTTGTCTAGAAAGTCTATTGTTATCCATGCGGTTTGCGGAGTATGTTGAAGAGGATGATTAAGGGTGTCAAATGGGAGGGCTGAGTTAAAATTAGAGATATTAAAATGGTTTTAAATAGAAATCGGGTTGGGTTATGATCCACCCAAGGTTACGTTGGGTTCAAATGGGTTGAGCTCAAATGGGCTAAAACCCGTGTTGGGTTATGACCCGCCCAATTTGACCCACTTAATCTCAATGATTTTAATATATTGTTATTTAACTGTATAACCACAAATTGAATTTCAACTCAAGAAAATTTATAAAAAAAAAAGACAAATGGAAAGATAAATCCTAGAAGATATAAAATAGATAGTAATTCATAACTTCATTATAGGAACATACATTACATCAATATAAATAAAGAGTCTTAAAATGTGTTGAAATTGGAGATAAAATTGGGGTCAATTGAAGATTCTTTCTAAATGGGTTAAGGCTTGAAAGAGTTAAGATTGAACCGTATTCAAATTACCGTGAACCCAACCCCTCAAAAATTTGGGCGGGTTGGACGTGTTACCTATATTTGGGGTCATTTCTTACACCCCTAAGTATGATGTTCATTATGTATTCCCTACAAGAAGAAAGTTCCATCTCTGAGAAAACTTATTATAGGCGAATCGTAATATGAAAGGATTGTTGAAAAAGGAAGGGGAAGAGCAATTCCCTGTGCTTGAAGAGATGACGGATTTGCTTATATTGTTGTTGCTCTCTTTTCCGTTGTCTATCCTTTAAAATGCCTCATGTTTCTTTTGATTTTTAATTCTACCCGATATGCCTGCTACTTGTTGTTTTGGGATATGGGTTGACTTACCTACTGCTGGTGGGTTATGATAGGAGTCATCATGACTCAAGGTTTCAGGTCGTGATACTTCCATAGGTTCACTAAGCTTTTTTCACTAGAAGCTTATGGTGCTCAATTTTTTTAGCTCACTCTCTTTAGTTCCTTGATGTGCACACCCCAAACATAGGCTTTTGCTTACACCACATTTTTATTCTGTTCTACCCCCAAACAACAATTTCATCACTAGGAATTAGGGATGTAAGGGTATCAAAAGAGAGGAATCAAAACGGTCAAGTTGCACAACATAGTGACTAAAGAAATTAATTAAGGCTCATTAGGATTGACTAAGATCAATTTTAAGGGAAAGACAATTTGGGTAAAGTGATAAATCAAAGAGGACCTACGTTAACCCTCCAATCCAAGCAATATCTAGAATATCACCTTGAATCACATTTGGAGGAAAGTTCTACACTATATGCCCACACAATAATTATTCAATGTCTCACCACACAAGGCATTCAAAAATCAACTAGATCTCAAGCTAGTCTCAAAATTAATTGAACAGAACGTCTTTTGACTAACTACAACGAGTTAATCAACACATGCTTGTAAATCACAAAGCCAAACCAAAAGTGTAAGATCCATGACAACAAATTGCTCTCAAGTATACTTTTTCCCTCATTTTCATCATCCTTTGACAGTAAATTTTTTTGGGGGTCTCACTTGCGAGAAGTATAACACATGCTCTACATAAACTAAAACATGGAATTTTCCCCCAAGAAAGCCACCTATCAATCTATCATAGGGAAATACCAACCCAATTCGACACAAAAAAAAGACAAAAAATATACTCTTTGGAAAAGAACCTTAGTATGAAGAAAGCCCTTGGAGTTTATTCAATTATGTACTATTCACATAGACGATATTTAATGAGGCACAACCCTAGACTGAAATCAAGCCATGCCTTCATGGCACATGAGTTATTCAAACCCAAGAGAGTTAAAAAGGACTTGCATGAAATTGAAACACCTGCTCCTGAATGACGAGTTGCATATGAGAAGTGGTGATCTGCCTGCAAATGTCCAACGCAGGTTAAAAAAATGAAAATGTGCTTTAGTGATCTGCCTGCAAACCTGCATTTCGCAGGTGTAACACAGAATTTGGAAATATTGACATGTAGTTGGAATAGTTGTCTTATGGGCCTCTAACCTTTGGTATGTATTGTGCTGAGAAGTAGAAGGATCCATCTTGATTACTATTTACTAGTAGTAATTAGCAGAAATGACCAAATTGATCTCTTATAGATATTTGACTTTAAAAATTTTTATTTTTAGTAATTTTTTACATACTAAAATATGCCTCGTACAAAATATAACTAGATTCGGATGAACCCGTTGGCTAGCTGCATTTGCCACTGGTCCTCATTGTCTATATTGACACATGCTATAAAACTCATTTTCATGACTTATATGCCAGGTAGGTATTAGTTTATATCAATGTAATTAAGTATCTGGATTTGTTTTGGAGATTTCTTGTTGCAAGTGAAAGAAATTAAGTGGTTTTCAGAGATTTGAGAGAGAAATTAACAAGTTTTGTAAAGATGATTAAGTGAAAGGTGGGGGTGGATCTAGCTGTATATAGTAGAGTGTCATAATCTAAGTCGTTTGGTAGAGTGTATTAGCAAAATTAATGTATGCATTAATTATATGTATTAGTAATCCCTTGTTTGGTGCATTTTTTCATGCTATGTATAACTAATGTTTGCATTAGTAATACACTCTATTGTGTATTGAGGAGTGTATTACTAATACCATAGATTTCTAGGTATTAGTAATGCAAATGATTTAATACATGCATTAATATGGTTAAAGACTCAATTACCCATCAAAAGTACTTTTACATTTTTTCCACCATAATTGTGAAGGATACTTTTGTAAATAAATATTTTTATACAATGCCTACTATTTTTAATACACCAAACCAAACAATGCATGAAAAATAATCTATGCATAACTAATACTGCTTGCATTACTAATACACTCTATTGGGTATTATTTTTATATGCTCTACCAAACGATCCTGAGATCACTAAAAAAATAATTCATAAATTTTAAATTTTGAATCCACCTCGATAATAATGAAATAATACAAGAAGACAAAATATGACAAGGATAGTATTTTCCATGAAAATCCATTTTCCTTCGTGCCAAACACACCCTTACTTGTTAATTATAAATGAAAGAAACATCAGAAAATTTTAATACAAGACATTTCAAGTGACTTTGCCAAAAAAAAAAAAAAAAAACAATATGCTCTTTCCATTTGTTATCATCATTATTCTCAGTTTTCTTCTTCCAAAAGTAAAAAAGAAAGAAAAAAACATCCTGCCACCAGGTCTTTTAAGGTTGCCATTCATTGGATATTTGCATCAATTTGATAGTTTAACCCCCTCATATCTATTTTTGGAAACTTTCCAAGAAATATGGAAAAGTACTCATTGAAACTTGGTTCTACTCCAATAATTGTAGTTTCTTCAACAAAATTAGCAAAAAAAGTAATGAAGACACAAGATTTAGCTTCCATTCTGGGACAACAAAAATTGTCTTACAATAATCAAGATATTGCTACGTCACCTTACAATGACCATTGGAAAGAGCTTCGAAAAATATGTGTTGGTCATTTATTTAGTCTAAAAAAAGTTCAATCTTTTATTCCAATTCATGAAGATGAAGTATCAAGAATGATCAAGGAAATATCTCAACAAGGTGTAACTTCCCGAATTACCAATTTAAGTAGTATAATGATTTCACTAACAACTACAATTATTTGTAGAGTTGCTTTTGGTATTAGGTATGATGAAGAAACACACGAAATGAGAAATTTTAATGAACTTTTAAAAGTGACTCAAGAAATGTTGACAGCCTTTTTTGTCTCTGATTATTTTCCTCTCTTAGGATGGATTGATAAACTCTTCGGAAAAACAAGTAGACTTGAGAAGAATTTTAAGGATTTGGATGAGTTTTACGAAGGACTCATTGAGAAACATCTCAATCCCAATAGGCCAAAATCCATGGAAGAAGATATTATTGATCTTTTGCTCCAATTGAAGAAAGAGAAATCAACTCCAATTGTTCTTACTTTGGACAACATAAAGGCTATAATCATGGTAATGAACTACTCCATTTGTATCTATTTTATATGGAGGTACTGATAAATATATACTTGCTCACATCGATTGCTTACACATAGCTAAACAGTAAGCCTTTCATTGGCTTGGTGTTAATATTTCGTCACGTGGCTAAGATTTTTCCATTGTTATGTTTTTGGCATGATCATAATATGAAGAAGGATTTTGTCAAATATTCAAAAGTGCCTTGTAAATTTGTGACATTACACATGTCACATCATTTCATGATTAGTTGGTTAGAAAAATATTTGAATAAAGATAAATGAGAAATTTAAAGTTTTTGAATACATGAAGATATATTTTGTGGCTAAGTTTGTATCCTCCCATTTTCCCTTGTAGAATATGCTAGTTGCTGGAACAGACACTACCGCATCTACAATAATTTGGGCAATGGCAGCCTTGATAGCAAACCCGAATGCCATGAAGACAGTTCAAGCAGAAATTAGAGAATCGGTTGGAAAAAAGTCCATAGTGAATGAGGATAATGTCCAAAAGCTTCAATATTTCAAAGCAGTGATAAAAGAGACATTCAGATTGTATACACCGGCTCCATTGTTACTACCAAGAGAGACAAAGTTCCATACTAGATGGATATGAAATTAAACCAAAAACTATAGTATATGTTAACACTTGGGCAATTGGAAGCTAAGGGATCCTGAAATATGGAAAAATTCAAAAGAATTTATACCTGAGAGGTTCTTGAATAATGATAATATTGATTTTAAAGGCCAAGATTTTTAGTTGATTCCATTTAGAGCAGGTAGAAGAGGATGTCCGGCTATTGCACTTGGTGTGGAAAATGTGGAACTTGTACTCTCTAATCTTCTTTACGCTTTTGATTGGGAGTTGCTTCGTGGGATGAAAAGAGAAGACATTGACACTGATGGTTTGCCTGGAATTACTCCGCATATGAAAAACCATTTGTGCCTTGTTCCTAGAAATTATCACTATTCACAAGAAATTAAACAAGACCAACCAAACTCCAGTATTTAAATTAGTTAAATATGTATTTCTGTCATTTTTCGTTATAAACATGTAATGGAGTAGGTATTTCAATAAAATTTCCCTTGTAGTTCCAAAGGATGTCGCAGCGAAATGAACCAAATTGATCTTTTATATATCTTTCACTTTAGATTCAAAATAATCCCTTGTTATTTTGCATTTCTTCTGTAGGTACACTACGGATTTGTGGGTTATACTAATTTGTGCTAGCGTTGAGGCTACATTGAATGATTCTTCACATGCAGAAACCTTTTTTTTTTGCTGGAAGAATCTTCGAAAAACATTTAGCAAAACAAATAAAACAAAGAAATTAAAAATGAAAAGAAGTTAAGTACTTTTGTTGCCTCCCAAGAAGCACTTTATTTAATGTTATGGCATGAGATAATTCCTTACATCCAAGGTTCCTCAAGATAAATCATACCAATCATGGCTTCGGGTACTCCCAAATATTGCTTAACTCTTCATCCATTCCCTTTGAATTGATGTCTGAGATCAATAGAACCATTTTAATAGAATCGGGACACTGTGAATTGACCAGACTATTAATATTTTTGCTTTCCTAGGAACAACTAGAGAGTTGAATTAAATAGCAACACCCAATTTCTAGGAGAAATGCTTGTTTTCAATATTTGTGATCAGTAAAACTCTCCCTCTAAAAACACTAAGTCCAATTACAGCAACGGAAATTATTCGCCGATAATGGCTAGTCAAAGGGAAGCTCACACATGAGACTTGCCATCGACCTCCTTGGGCCAAAGACCGCCAGACCCCAGACCCACCAGATCCGATCGTTTTTCCCCTTCTAGCCATAAACTCCCAAATCTTAAACAACTACAACATGAGTACCAATAACCAGGGACAAACCAACTTCGATGATCAATCGAGCTACAAGAGCGCTTTGGGTTTTCGATCCCAGAACTTCATCAAAGGCAGAATCTGAATCAATCAAGGAAACATGAAATAACTAATGGAAAATATGTTGTTAGCTTTACCAAGGAAGAACATGACCTCTTAGCCGATACTTGCAAATGGACTCTGGTAGGGAAATTCGAGCAAAATCGCACACAAATTGATAAAATTAGGGCAGATCTCGCAAAATGTAACACCCCATAATTGAAAAAGGAAAATAAGGCAAAATTCAGGAAGCTGCAGGTGCCAGCCACAAAGGCCAACCACGACCCTTGGGTAGAACCACGGACCATAGTGTGGTCCGTGGTCTAGTCACTAGCAAGGTCAATTAGAGGCTTAGGACCACGGCCTGACCAACATACCGTCAGTCAAACCATGGTCCGTGGTTAGGGGGTCCGTGTTTCACTAGCTTAAAATCAACTCCCAAACCATGAACGACGGTCGTGCAGGATGGACCGTCGGTCAGTCCACGATCCGTTGATCGTGGGCTAGCAGTTATTTTCAGGGTTAGTTGGGTCTTTTCCTAATTAATTAAATCCTATACTACGTTATATTTCTTATGTCTAGGACCCTTATATAAGGATTTTACCTCCAAATTTCCCAATAGAAATCTTTCTCTCCAAACTCACCATAAAGAAGAATTCTCAAATAATTCTCTCTATAGAATCTGTAAGAAGAAGAAGGATTCATCTAGGGATTCAAGTCAACTATTAATTCCTCCATTGATGGCTAGCATTTGGACTTGAGGTATGATAGTTTTCATCCATGGATTCCTTCCATCCATGGAGTTCCCAAATTGCTCTATTTCAAAAGGTAGAATTCCCCAATTGAGTTAGGGTTTTCTTCAATTATCACGGGTTCTTTTCATTATTGATTTAAATGATTGAATTATGATCTTTTCTTCATTAATTGATGAAACTATGCTTTTATGATGATTTCCCCCATGAACCCATGTAATCCCATTGTTTTCAAGTTATGATCACATGATGTGGGATTTTTAGTATAAAGCAAGAGTTTTTATGAAATTAAGTATGTATTGCTAGCTTTACATGATTTATGATGAAATCCATATCTAACACATGTTTACTAAGTATTGATGATTGAAAGTGGGTTTTGAACCTTAAGAGGTAAAATATGGACTTATGTATTTTCTTATGAAATCTATGCAAATGTTTTAATGATGCTTTGAGAGTAAAGTATCAATGATGATGTTGTTGTTGATTGTTGAAAGGATATTCTCATAAACACATACAACCATGATTTGAAAAGTTTTCTCATATAATAAGAATTCTAAGGTTGAAAGGTTTTCTCACCTAATTGAATCAAAGACAAGGAGCTATCCTAATGAAACTTAGCTTGGATCGGTGAGATAATATGCCCTTCCATGAATGATAAGAACAAGTGAGAAATGACTATTCTGTGGAAATTATGGCTAACACCTAGTGGATATTGAAGTGAGATGGTAACTCTCACATAGTAAAGGCCGGGTTTTTAGAAGCAATCTCTTGAGATGGAAGCTCTTCCTAGTAGAGGCTAGGTTTCTAGTAGCAATCTCCTTATCCCATAACTATGTGCCCCCATAGGATGATTAGCTAGTGGATCCACTTAAGTTAGAGTTCATGGTCCTTACCTTGGCAAGTAAGACAACCCTTTTCGGTGTGGGAGACACCGGGGATCATGTTATAGCTCACATGGTCTCTATGTCGGTTAAGGCTCATTTCCCACAATAATATGAATAATGTACTAATGTTACTTCCAAAAGTATCTCATATGAGTTCAAAGGCTTTAAAGATGATGTTAGTTTGCATTGACCATGTTTTATGAAGTATGTTTTCTAACTTCTTTTATATCATGTTTTAGTTTGGTCAATTACATGTCATGAAATGAAATGTCCCTTTTTGCATGTTTTAAATGTTTATGCATAGCTATCATACTTGGTCCATTGTTTTGTACTAACGTGTATTCTTGCCTACATTTTCCCCAAATGTTGGGTCTGATAGTCAGGATCATCAGTTTCGTGGCTAATGTTGATTTCGAGATTCCCAAGCTTTTGTGAGTCCTCATGATTCGAGGATGGAGCTTTATTGTATTCACTTTCTTTCATGTATTTCTCTTTTGGACATGATGTATGAGCCAGACCCAATTTCATTATATTATATTAGATGGCTATGACGAGACAAGATGTCTAGACTTTCGCTTTTCTTTTATAAAATGTTTGGACTTTGAAATGTTGTTTTACTCTTATTGTTCTATTTCTTATGTTATGAGAGCTAAGTGTCTTGTATGGAGTCCTTCGAGGCACTATACGACATGTTACATCTAGGGTGTACCCCTGGGTCGTGACAAACTTGGTATCAGAGCACAAGGTTTAAAATGGTCCTAGAATGTCTCATAAGCCACATCTAGTAGAGTCTTGTTCATGAGTGTAAAACGCACCACATTTATGAATGAGAGGCTGAAAGATGATTAGGAAACTTCACTTCTATCATTACTCTAAAGTCATGCCATAGAGTTTAACTCTATAAAGTCTCTCTCCTAATCCTTACCCAATGCTCTACATGATATGTCTATGCGAAAAGCTTATGCTAGAAGGAATGTGAGGGAGAATGCGAAACAAAAATCTCCTCCCCAAGCTCCTCCTCAAGTTTCGGTTGATCCTTTGGCCGAACAAGTTACAAATGCAGAGGTTAGGGCGGCTTTTCAAGTGTTGGCTCAAGCCATGACGTCCCAAGCAAATAGGGAGGTTGCAGTTCTCGAGAACCCAAATGTGGGTACGACGGCTTCAAGAGTGAGGGACTTCACAAGGATGAATCGTCTGGAGTTTCATGGTTCTAAGGTTGAGAACTATCCTCAAGAGTTTATTGATGAGGTCTATAAGGTTTTGATGATCATGGGAGTGACGCCAGTGGAAAAGGTGGAGTTGGCCGTTTATCAATTGAAAGGTGTTGCTCAAGTGTGGTACAACCAATGGAAAGTTGAGAGACCAGAAGATGTGGGTCCTCTTGATTGGGAGAAGTTTAAGGCTGATTTTCTTGATAGGTTCTTTCCCCTTGAGATGAGAGGAACAAAGGTGCTTGAGTTCATCAAACTTCGTCAAGGAAGTATGAGTATAAGGGAATATGCTAAAAAGTTCACTCAATTGTTGAAGTATGCTCCAAAAATGGTTGCCGATTCTAGGGCAAGGATGAGTAAGTTCATGTCGGGTGTGTCAGAAATGGTGGTCAAAGAGTGTCGTACCACCATGCTCATTAATGACATGGACATCTCTCGTCTCATGATTCATGCAAAACAGATTGAGGAGCAAAAGCTCAATGAAAATTCTAGGGAGGCAAAGAGAGCTAAGACCGGTGATGGTAATTTTTCTCATGCAAGGTCTGAGGTAATACGAGACCTAAGATCACGAGTGACCCCAAGCTAACCCTGTGTCTGGCATATCATAAGAATACTATAAAAGTTATTGAATAAAACAAGTACTATGCGGAAGCTAAAACAATGCATAACTGAATCTGGGGAAAACCCACTAGTCTAATTATATAAAACATACTAAGAGATTAGTGATAATTGAACAACCACTTGATAAATAAAGCTGAATCTAATACTGTGTCTGAGAAGCCTCTATCTGAGTTAAGTTTCTGGGACATGCTCCCAGCTAACTCTAACAAAACTGAAAATGGAATAAAAGACTAAAAATACAAAGCATGTATGTTGTCCTCAAAGTATGAGGACTCATCACTGAAGCAGCTGAATGCAAATCGAGAATTGATCTAAGCGTGATCTGGATGCTAAGTACCTGAGCCTACATCATGAAAGGATGTAGCACAAAGTATGTGTTAGTACTTGGAATGTACTGAGCATGCAGGATATAGATAATAGTTGAACAAAATATATAGGTTGAACAAAGCATAACTGAGCAATGATATAACAGAACATGCTGAGACTGAATACTGAAGTATAACCTGAAAACCTAGTCAAATGTACTAGAGTCTGACTATGGGAGCTACTATTAACCGACATAAAACCACGTGAGCTAAACGTGGAGTCCGATGTATACGCCCCATCGAGAGGACCCAATATACCTTTCCAGGGGTATAAAGGCATGACTGGCGTGATCACTAAATCTGATGCCCAATAGAAGGGACTTATAATAGTATGGGGGCACATAGTTCTGGGACTATGAGGATATGTTGAACCCTCGTCCAACTCGGTGCTAAGTTTACTCCCAACTAAATATGTATACAATTGAAATGTAACTAAAATACTGAATAGCTCAAAATACTGACATGCTAACTGAGAATGCAACATTTATGTACTGGCAATGTGACATTCGAAATCTGGAGCATGATTATCTTTTTAACTGACCTAGCAAGTATAATTCATGAACTAAAAGAATTTATACAACTAGGGTTCTGAGTTTCATGCAAGGAACTAAGTAAGCTTTCAAGAAACAAGCTAATTCGATTTAAGATACTACAACAGCTAAATCACAACAATTATCTAAGGTTTTTGAAACCCTATGTCTAAACAAGATATGGAGAATCAAGGATCTGACTGAATTCTAGGGACCTAGTGGATGAAAGGAACCCACTAGTGAAATCCAACATACCTGGTGACGAAATTCATATAGAAATCCTTAGATTTCGGGGTTGAAACTTGAAAAACCTATTGCGTGTTATTGATAGGGATAGTTGACTTTCCCCTTCTTTTTTCTCTAATTTCAATGATTTTGAAGAGTAAGGGTTTTGGGTAGGTTCTGAATAGATTATTAGGCTTAATCTGAGTAAAACGACGTAGTTTAAATGTCCAATGCATAGGAGAAAATACCAAAATGACCCTGACTTAAAAGCTGACTAGGCCCTCCCACGGCGCCACTGATGGACCGTCAAAGGGACCACGGCCCTTCAAGTGGGTCATCGTTCTTGGCCAGTGTCTACTGGTTCAGGGCACCCCCATCCACGGTCCACTTCATGGACCGTGTGAAGGACCACATATCGTGAAGGCCACCGTGGTTCTTCACTTGGGTTGGGGGTCTGCTATCTTAGGACGACGGACCCATCCACGGTCCGTCATCGAGACCACGGCCCGTAGAGATCCATGGTTTGATGCCTGATCCCTGGTGGTTTTTCCCTTTCTCTACGAGCCCTTCCACGGCTCATGTGGTGATCATCGGCCCGTGAAGGGCTTCGTGTTTCACAAAATTTTTTTGGTTCACTCCATTTTCTGCTGAAGTGTCTAAGGTAGGTTTTGAGGTGTTACACCGATGGACATGGTCGTTCTAGATTTCGACAAACGTTTTCTGGTCAAGGTTCCTCCAATGCTCCTCCTAAGTTTAGCAAAGATAGGGTGTCTAACCCTAAGCCTCAAGGAGGTGATGGTAGTGGATCTTCATTGCCTACGTCTACTTGTACTAAGGGTGGAAGGAAGCACGAGGGTAAGTGTCTAGCCTATATAGATGGTTGCTTCAGTTGTGGTAAGAGTGGTCATAAGATGAGGGATTTCCTAATGCTTAAGGCAAAAACAAAAGAGGGCAAGCAAGCTACCCCTAGTGGTGCGGGTTCCAATGCTCCCAAGCAAAACCGATTTGATGCACTTCAGACTCTTTGTGAACAAGAGGGTTCTCCCGATGTAGTTATCGGTATATTGAAAGTTTTCCAACTAGATGTTTATGCTTTACTTGATCCCGGTACTACTTTGTCTTTTGTGACACCATATGTGGCTAGGAGGGTCGATGTTCTTCTGGATGTATTGTTAGAACCTTTTTCTGTCTCTACTCATGTTCGTGATTCTATTGTGGCTAAGAGGGTCTATAGAAGATGTCCCATTTCCTTGTCCCATAGAGTTACTCTTGTTTACTTGGTAGAGCTTGATATGCTAGATTTTGATGTTATCCTTGGTATGAATTGGCTACATTCTTGTTATGCTTCTATTGATTATAGATCCCGTGTAGTCAAGTTTCAGTTTCCAAATGAGCCTATCCTAGAGTGGAAGGGGGGAAATTCTATGCTTAATGGTCAGTTTGTCTCTTATCTTAAAGCTAGAAAGATGATCTCTAAGGGTTGCTTGTACCGTCTAGTTAGGGTGAGGGATGTAGATTCTGAAACCCCTACTCTTGAGTCGGTCCCCATTGTTAATGAGTTTCTAGAAGTATTCCCAGATGATTTTCCTGATATTCCTCCCGAGAGGGAAATAGACTTCGGTATTGACCTTCTCCCAGATACACAACCTATCTCTATTCCTCTGTATAGAATGGATCCAGCGGAACTTAAGGAATTGAACGAGAAATTTTGAGATTTGTTGGATAAGGGTTTCATCCAACCGAGTATCTCTCCATGAGGTACTCCAGTTGTGTTTGTTAGAAAGAAGGATGGTTCTCTTCATATGTGTATTGACTATCGTCAGTTGAACAAGGTGACTATTAAGAATAAGTATCCTCTTCCAAGGATAGATGATTTATTTGACCAACTTCAAGGGGCAAGTTACTTCTCTAAGACTGACCTTTGGTCAGGTTATCACCAATTGAGGGTGAAAGAAGATGCCATTCTGAAGACAGATTTTTGAATTTGATATGGTCATTATAAGTTTTTGGTAATGTCATTTGGGTTGACTAATGCTCCGGTGGAGTTTATGGATTTGATTAATAGGGTGTTTGGACAATACCTTGACATGTTTGTGATTGTGTTCATTGATGACATATTGATTTACTCAAGGAATGAGAATGAGCACATTGATCATTTGAGGATTGTGTTGCAAATTCTTATGGACCAACAACTTTTGCAAAGTTTAGAAAATATGCATTTTGGTTAAGGTCTGTAGCTTTCCTTGGTCATATCATTTCAAGTAAGGGTATTGAGGTAGATCCTAATAAGACGTATGTGGTCAAGAGTTGGCCTAGACCTCTATCTCCTTTGGATATTAGAAGTTCTTGGGTTTGGTCGATTACTATATAGGATTTTCTTCTATGCCTCTCCTTTGACGGCTTTGACTCAAAAGAATGATAAGTTCTTATGGTCCAAAGCTTGTGAGAAGAATTTTCAAGAGTTGAAAGAAAAACTTACTTCTGCTCCGGTGTTGACCTTACTGGATGGTACAAATGGTTTTGTGGTGTATTGTGATGCCTCTAGAATCGGGTTGGGATTTGTGCTTATGCAAAACGGTAAAGTTATTGCCTATGCCTCAAGGAAACTTAAGATCCATGAGAAGAATTATCTTACCCATGACCTTGAATAAGCGGCGGTTGTTTTTGCCTTGAAGATTTGGAGACACTATTTGTATGGTGTTCATGTTGATGTGTTTACCGACCATAAGAGTTTACAATATGTGTTTAATCAGAAGGATTTGAATCTTCGCCAAAGAAGGTGGCTTGATTTATTCAAAGATTATGACATGAGTGTCCTTTATCACCCTGGTAAAGCAAATGTGGTGGTGGATGCTCTTAGTCGATTATCTATGGGTAGTGTTGCTCATATGGAGGATGATAAAAAAGAATTGGTTTTAGATGTGCATAGATTGGCCCGATTGGGTGTTCAGTTAGTGGATTACACCAAGGGGTGGTGTTATGGATCATAATGGTTCTGAATCGTCTTTTGTGGCGAATGTAAAAGCTAAGCAAGGTCTTGATCCAATATTGGTTGAATTGAAAGAGGCGATGCTTAAAAAGTCCATTGAGGCTTTCTCCCAAGGGGGAGATGGTGTGCTTAGGTATCAAGGTCATTTATGTGATCCTAATATTGATGACTTAAGGGAACAAATCTTGTAGAAAGCCCATAGTTCTCGATATTCTATTCACCCGGGAGCCACCAAGATGTACCGTGACTTGCGAGAGACCTATTGGTAGAGTGGGATGAAAAAAGATATTGCGGGATTTGTGGCTAAATGTCCTAATTGTCAACAACTGAAGGTTGAGCATCATAAATTGGGAGGTTTATCCCAACACATTGGTATTCCTACTTGGAAGTGGGAAGATCTGAAAATGGAATTTATTGTTGGGTTGCCTCGCACTCGGCAACAACATGACTCAATTTAGGTTGTAGTAGATCGGATAAAGAAATCAGCTCATTTTATTCCCATTAAGGTTTCTTATTCGGCGGAAGATTATGCTAAGTTGTACTTGAGAGAAACGGTAAGGTTGCATGGAGTGCCCTTGTCCATTAATTCCGATCGTGGTACCCAATTCACTTCAATTTTGAAAGTCATTCCAAAAGGGTCTTGGTACTAAAGTTAAGCTTAGCACAACTTTTCATCTCCAAAACGATGGGCAAGCGGAGCGTACTATCCAAACCTTGGAAGATATGTTGAGAGCTTGTGTGATTGATTTTAAGGGTAATTAGGATGACCATTTGCCATTGATTGAGTTTGCTTATAATAATATCTATCACTCGAGTATTGATATGGCTATATTTGAGGCACTATATGGTAGGAGGCGTAGATCTCTTATAGCATGGTTTGAGGTGGGTGAAGTTGCCCTAATAGGTTCTGAATTGGTACATGAAGCAATAGGGAAGATTCAGCTTATTAGAGAAAGGTTGAGAACGGCTCAATGTCGACAAAAGTCATTTGCCGATGTTATAAGAAAAGAGGTTGAGTTTGATGTTCATGATTGAGTTTACTTGAAAATCTCACCCATGAAGGGTGTAATGAGGTTTGGTAAGAGAGGGAAGCTTAGTCCCCATTTTGTAATCCCATACCAAATTTTGAGACATGTTGGTAAGGTTTCTTATGAGCTTGATTTGCAAAATGAGTTGGCATCGATGCATCTGGTTTTCTATGTCTCTATGTTGATGAAATGTGTTGGTGATCCGATATCTATAGTCCCTAAAGAGTTTGGAAGTTAAAGAAAATCTTTCTTATGAAGAGGTCCCGGTTGAGATTTTAGACTGGCAAGTCAAGAAGTTGAGAAACAAGGATGTTGATCCCGTGAAAGTGTTATGGAGGAATCATTTAGTTGAGGGTGCCACTTGGGAGGTCGAGGCCGATATGATGTCCTGATATCCTCATCTTTTTCCTTCTACTCTTACTCTAGCTTTAGGTAATGAGTTCCTCATGATTTGTTCCTTGTTTTGGACTCATGTGCTATATGTATTTTCCATGATTTCCTTATTTATGCATGTTCATAAAAAGTTATGTTTTGAGAAAATTAGTCAATTTGTTTGATTTTCCTCGTGTTGTGCATTGAGTATGAGTTGCCTATAGACTTCATGAGATGAATTGATGAACATGCTTTAACTATGCTTTTTGAGAATGAATTGCATATTGTCTCCATGAGATTGTGTTGAGCATGTTTTTAGCTGGGAGAAGGGAGTTCCTCCTTGAACATGAGAAAATTTTGAAATTTCATGCATATTGGGTTGCTAGATGTAGTTCCTACTTCCTTATGATGCTTGAGTATGTTTAGCTTGGAATTCATGTGTCCTCCTTGAATTTGCGCATTTCATGAATAACGGGTTTTAGACTTAGTATCACCCCTCCTATGATGTGTTGATATCGTCCTAGCTTGGAGTCGATAGTTCCTCCTTGGTTATATGCATTTAGATGAAGTTGCATAAGTAGGTTGGGTTGTTAGTTCCTATCCAAATCTTTTAGAACCAGTTTGAATCTCATTTGAGGACAAATGAGCCCAAGGGGAAGATATTGTAACACCCCGTATTCGAAAAAGGGAATAAGGAAAAATTTAGGAAGCTACAGGTGCCAACTACGGAGGCCAACCACGGTCGGTGGGTAGAACCACAGACTGTAGTGTGGTCCGTGGCCTGGTCACCAATAAGGTCACTTAGAGGCTTAGGACCACGGCCTGACCAACAGACCGTCGGTCAGACCACGGTCCATGGTTAAGGGGTTCGTGGTTCACTGGCCCAAAATCAACTCCCAAACCATGAACGACGGCCGTGAAGGATGGACCGTCGGTCAGTCCACGGTCCGTCGGCCATGATCCGTGGTCAAGGGCTGGTAGTTATTTTCAAGGTTAGTTGGGTCTTTTTCTAATTAATTAACTCCTATACTACGTCAGTTTGCCTATGTCTAGGACCCCTATACAAGGATTTTACCCCGAAATTTCCCAATAGAAATCATTCTCTCCAAACTCACCAAAAAGAAGAACTATCAAATAATTCTCTTTATAGAAACTTGAAGAAGAAAAAGGATTCATCTAGGGTTTCAATTCAACTCTCAATTCATCCATTGAAGGCTAGAATTTGGACTTGAGATATGATAATTTTCATCCATGGATTCCTTCCATCCATGGAATTCCTAAATTCCTCCATTTCAAAAGGTAGAATTCCCGAATTGAGTTAGGGTTTTCTTCAACTGTCATGGGTTCTTTTCATTATTTATTTAAATGATTGAATTATGATCTCTTATGCATGAATTGATGAAATACTATGATTTTATGATGATTTCCCCATGAACCCATGTAATCCCCATGTTTTCAAGCTAAGATCATGTGATGTGGGATTTTTAGTATAAAGCAAGAGTTTTATGAAATTAAGCATGTATTGCTAGTTTTACATAAATTTATGATGAAATCCATATCTAACCCATGTTTGCTAAGTATTGAGGATTGAAAGTGGGTTTTGAACCTTAAGAGGTAAAATATGGACTTATGTATTTTCTTATGAAATCTATGCAAATGTTTTAAGGATGCTTTGAGAGTAAAGTATCAATGATGATGATTTTGTTGTGTTGTTGAAAGAATATTCTAATAAACACATACAACCATGATGTGAAAGGTTTTCTCACATAATAAGGATTCTAAGGTTGAAAGGTTTTCTCACCTAATTGAATCAACGACTAGGAGCTATCCTAATAAAACTTAGCTTGGATCGGCGAGATGATATGCCCTTCCATGAGTGATAAGAACAAGTAAGAAATGATTATTCCGTGGGAATTATGCTTAGCACCGAGTGGATATTGAAGTGAGATGGAAACTCTCATGTAGTAGAGGTTGGGTTTCTAGAAGCAATCTCTTGAGATAGAAGCTCTCCCGAGTAGAGGCCCGATTTCTAGTAACAATCTCATTATCCAGTAACTATGTGCCCCCATAGGATGATTAGCTAGTGGAACCACTTAAGCTAGAAGTTCATGGTCCTTACCTTAGCAAGTAGGACAATTTTTTTCGGTGTGGGAGACACCGGGGATCATGTTATAGCTCACATGGTCTCTATGTCGGTTAAGGCTCATTTCCCACAACAATATGAATAATGAACTAGGGTTACTTCAAGAAATATCTCATATGAGCTCAAAGGCTTTAAAGATGATGTTAGCTTGCATTGACCATGTTTTATGAAGTATGTTTTCTAACTTCTTTTATATCATGTTTTAGCTTGGTCAATTGCATGTCATGAAATGAAATGTCCCTTTTTGCATGTTTTAAATGTTTTATGCATAGCTATCATACTTGGTACATTGTTTTCAACTAACGCATACTCTTGCCTACATTGTCCCCAAATGTAGGGTCTAACAGTCAGGGTCATCAGTTTCGTGGCTAGTGTTGATTTCGAGATTCCTGAGCTTTGGTGAGTCCTCATGCTTCGAGGATGGAGTTTTGTTATATTCAGTTTCTTTCATGTATTTCTCTTTTGGACATGATGTATGGGCTAGGCCCAATTTCATTCTATTGTATTTGGCTATGATGAGACAAGATGTCTAGACTTCAGATTTTCCTTTATAAAATGTTTGGACCTTGAAATGTCGTTTTACTCTTATTGTTCTATTTCCTATATTATGAGAGCTAATTGTTTGTATGGAGTCCTTCGAGGTTCTATACGCCATGTTACATCTAGGGTGTACCCCTAGGTCATTACACAAAAATTGTATCAACTAAAGGCCATGTGATAATTGGGGCAAAAGATGGGAAACACGTTTTCATTTATGCTGAAAGTTAAGAAGACTACAACACTATTGCTTCCTACAACTTAATTCAGTTAAGTGGACATCATTCAATGAAAATCCAAATATGGACGGAAAATTTCAAACCAAACTAAGAGATGACTTTAGCTTCAGTATTGTGGATCAATTTACCAGACGTCCCGTGGCAGTACTATGAATGGGCAGCTTTATGTACAATTGTAGAACCAATAGGCACCCCCATTGTCATGGACAAAGCAACTCTATCAAAGACGAGACCCACAATGGCCAAGATGAGGGTGGAAATATACCTCATGAAACCTTTGATTACTGAAATCCAAGTGACAATAATGAGCTCGGAAGGACAAATGGAAGCCTTCAATCAGAAGATTGAGTACGAAAATATCCCTGAATTTTGCGTCCATTGCAAAATTCAAGGGCATACAAAAGAGAAATGCGGGATCATTCATCAAATTTGTCAGCAACAAAAACAAAACTTGTTAGGAATCTTCTTTTGAACTACAGTAAATTTAATTTTACTGCCTTTGTTTTAAGTAAGACTTGTTGTTAGTCATGGGTTTCTATTATTTAGGAGTTGTTTAGTGAACTGCTAGATCCTGTGTTATTATTTTTTACTTTTCATTCTAGGCTCTTATATATCTAATCTAAAGCATTAATAAAAGTGTTCTTCTGCTTCTATTCTTTTTTTCTCTCTCTCTCGTCTTTTTTGTTTCAGGCACAGTCTTTGATTTCCCTTTGTGTTATTTAGCTCAAACAGTTTTTTAAAACCTTCAATTAGTATTAGAGTGTTATTTCTTAAGGGATGTGTGTGAGCGCGCCAATCAGATTTCGTGAATACCATGAACGGAGAAGCATGTTTTTCTTCAATGGCACCACCAACTTTTGGTGAAAAAAGTTATCGAATCTGCGTTGTTAAAATGCAGGCATATCTGGAAGCTTTGGATCTCTGGTTGGCTGTAGAAGATGAATACATCATTGCTCCCTTGCCAAACAATCCCACGATGGCACAAATTAAAAATCACCAGGAAAGGAAAATTAGGAAATCAAAGGCAAAGGCATGTTTATTTGTTGTCGTTTCATCCAATGTCTTCACTCGTACCATGTCTCTAAAGTTGGCAAAAGAGGCAAGGGATTATCTTAAGACTGAGTATGAAGGAGATGAAAGGATTTGAAGGATGCAAGTGTTGAATTTGGTACGTGAGTTTGAGCTGTTAAGGATGAAGGATAGTGAAACCATAAAGGAATACACTGACCGACTTCTTAACATAGCCAATCACGACAGATTGTTGGGTTCCACTTTTAATGATTCAAGGATTGTTGAGAAAATCCTTGTAACGGTAACTGAAAGATTTGAGGCGACCATTACAACCTTAGAAAATTCTAAGGGCTTGTCCAGTATTACACTAACAGAGATCTTAAGAGTCTTTCAAGCACAAGAGCAACGACGTGTTATGAGACAAGAAGAAACTATTGAAGGAGCCTTACGTGCCAAGCATCAAGATGATGGAAGATATAAGAAAAATAAGAAAAATAAGTACCAACCAACAGAGGGAGAAGGTGCAGCATGCAACAACAAAAACAAAACAGGTAGCTTCAAAGGAAACTACCCTCCTTATAAGCATTGCGGCAAGATCGGACACGCACCTTCCAAGTGTTGGAGAAGTCCTGAACCTAACCATAGTAAGTGCAATTAGTTTGGGCATGAAGCAATCATTTGTAAGAACAAAATTCAGTAGCAGGATGTAGATGCTTGAGTTGTAAATGAACAGGAGGAGGATCAACTCTTTGTTGCATCATGTTTTGCAAGCAATGTTTCTAGCGAGTTGTGTCTGATTGATAGAGGATGCACAAATCACATGACTCATAATAAAGAACTCTTTAAATAATTGAAGCCTACTCGAGTTGAAAATGTTCGATTAGGCCATGATGATCATATTCCAGCAAAAGGAATGAGAACTATTGCAGTTGAGATATAAGTAGGTACAAAAACAATAACACATGTTCTTTATGTACCAGACTTAGACCGAAACTTGTTAAGTGTTGGTCAATTGTTAGAAAAAGGTTTCAAACTTTATTTTTAAGATAAATATTGCTTGATCAAGGATCCCTCAGGGCAGGACTTGTTTAAAGTCAAAATGAAAGGAAAAAGTTTCTCATTAGATCCATCTGAGGAACAACAGATGTTGTATTCAGCAAAAGAAAATGTCGTTAGGTTATGGCATAAGAGACTCAGGCACTATCATTATCAAGGGCTTTTCAAGATGTAAAAGTTGAAGAATGTGGAGAGCCTACCTGATCTGGAAGCAAATTCCACTAAATATCATGCCTGCTAATTTGGTAAGCAACACAGAAAGTCATTTCCAAAATCAACTTGGAGAGCCTAAAAAAAGCTACAACTAGTTCACACGGATATCGCAGGGCCTCAAAGAACTCTATCACTACAAGGTAGCATCTATTACGTTCTTTTCATTGACGATTTTACAATAATGTGTTGGATTTTTTTCTTAAAATTCAAGTCAGAAGTTGCTGGTGTATTCTAGAAATTCAAGAAATTGATGGAAAATCAAAGCAATAGTAAGATTCAAGCTTTGAGGTCTAATAAGGGGAACGAATATACTTTAACGAAATTTGATTCATGCTATGAGGAAGCAGGCATTGTGCATCAGCTTATAACACAATACACACCAGAACAAAATGGTGTTACTGTAACATTCCGGAAATGTATAGACTAAACTAGAGCTTAAATGAAAGGGGTAAAAGTTTAGGAAGAGGGCAAAGGCCTAAGCTACCAAGAAAGAATGAAGGAAAACATTTTTTCCTTTGAACCATTCTGCGATGGGGCAGCAACACCGGCCAAGTCCATTGGCAATTAACCAAATGGACCTCCCTCGCCTAGTGGGCAGCCCCCTTTGGCCTAGCTACTGGAATTTTAGGCGAGCTAGGTCGGTGTTCGCCAACCCACTTGGTGCATCTCCCAAAGGATCTACACATCGCCCAAGGGAAATGCTCCATGATGGAGCATTCTGGAAATTTAGATGAGCCAAGAGACCATTAGGAGTGTCGCCTAGTGCCCTTGGTGACCTAGGAGGTGCAATTAGGTGAGCAAAATCGGGACATAGGCTGATTTTAAATTCAAGCCTTAGGGTCTTTAGTTATTCTTCCAAAAAATTGAACCCACATTATTTTAATCTTTTCCTAACAAGTATATAAGCTTTTTAGACTCAAATTTCCCCCAATTAAGTCACTTTTATAGAATCAAAAAGAAAACCCAAGAGTTCATCTTCCTCACAATATTTCTCTCTCTAAAACTCCAAGAAGAAGAAGGGTAGAATTGGAGCTAGGGTTTGGTGATTTCAAGGCTTCTTCCTCAAATTCTTTGAAGATTATCAATCAAGGTATAGTGGCTTTTCATCTATGGGTAGTTTCCACCCATAGAGTCCTTTCAAAACTTGATTTCAAAGCTTTCAATTTTCCCAAAACCTAGGGTTTCAATATAAGTCATGGGTTATCTTTCAAAACATTTTCAATGGTTAATTTATGATGGATTATGATTGAATTGATGGTTTAATATTTATTTATGATGAAATCCCCCCAAGAACCCATGAATTCTCCATATTGCAAAATTGTGAATTCAAAATGTGGGTTGATTGATTATAGAAGCATGTCAATTGATTATGTCTATATTGATTTAGTTTATTGAATCAGGATATTCTTCTTATCTAATGTAGTAATTCTAGATGTTTGGGTTGAATATGATTCATAGTCCTTAAAGGGAAAATTATAAGGGTTTGTTCATGTTTATGAGAATTGTGTATGAGCTTATGATTCATTGACTATGGTGTAATTATGGTATTTTTAAATTATTATTCTCCACATACCCTTACACATGACTATGCCTGAAATGTCTATGATTATGATATTATTGTTGTGTTGATTAAAAGGTTATTCTCATGAACACATTATGAACATGATGTGAAAGGTTTACTCACATATTAATGATTCTAAGTTTGAAAGGTCATTCTCACCTAATGAATCAATGAGATAATTTATGAGTTGTGTTGGATGGAGGGTAAGATGCTCCTTCATGCATGTAAATTCAATTGAAAACTAAACATATAATTTTGAGAAGTAATGCTTAGCACCGAGTGGATATGGTATATGAGTTAGATGCCCTCCCATCAATTCAATAGGCCGGGTCATCTAATGTAAACTCATGATATGGAAGCTCCCCCGTCAATAAAATAGGTTTGGGGTTTCTAGAAGCAATCTCCTTATCCCATAACTATGTGCCCACATAGGTCTTTAGCTAGTGGATCCACCTAAAAGCTAAAACATGTAGTTCTACCTTAGGCAAGTAGGATATATCTTTTTGGTGTAAGACATGACATCGGATTCCATGTAGCTCACATGGTCTATGTCGGTTAAGGTTATTCCCTACATGACAAGAATATGAATATGATAAGAACATGAACTATACCTATGACTTCTCAAGGAGTACTACTTAGTGTGAGTGGGTGTATGGGACTTCACTTATGCATTGCACAAGTAGGCTTTGGAAAGGGGTTATGGTGTGGTTTTCTTATGCTATGAAGATATGTGAATATATGCATATATGATATGAATTGTTGCTAAGAGTGACTTTACTTTCTATAAGCTATGAACATGAATGATTACTTGTCTTTGAGTGTTGGCTATGGATGAGGTCAAGGTATGATATGCATGATTATGGTGGCCTAAAGTGGTACTTAATATTAGATAGGATTATGGGATTTTATCTATGCATCGCACAAGTATAGCTTAAGGTTGCTTATGATATGGTTTGACTTATGTATTTACATTATTGTGCATAATGATTCTTAAAGTGATAAAGATCATGGTTTCAACTAAATTGTCCCTTTTAGCATGTTTTAAGGATTTTTATGCATGGCTTCCATACTTAGTGCAACTTTTGTACTAACCCATATTTTTTACATTTTTCCATAGGTGTAGGTTCCAGTTGTTGAGTTGTGCTTCCCTTTTCAATCAAGAGCTCTGATTGACTATTCTCCACGCTTTCAGTGAGTCCTCATGATTTGAGGACGAAGTTGTCATTTCTAGTTTCTATCCTACTTCCTCTTTTGAGACTATGTTGCAATGGGTTGTGACCCTTATTGAATTCTTGATATTTGATTATATTAGATGGTTTTAATGAGACAATGTCTAGACTTATATTTTGATTTTATGAAAAGACTTTGATTGTAAAAGGTTTTTATTTCGCATCTTTTCTATTACTTATTTTTGAGTACATCGTGTTACATCGGTAACCCTGGGTCGTGACAAACTTGGTAATCAAAGCACAAGGTTTAGAATGATTCTAGGATGATGTCTCATAAACCACGTTTAGTAGAGTCTTGTTCATGAGTGTGAAGCGCGCCTCATTTATAAATGAGAGGCTATAAGATGCTTAGGAAATTCCACTTCTTTCATTACTCTTTAGTCGTGCCTTAGATTTTTAACTCTAGGAAGTCCTTTTCCTAACCCTTCTCTTGTTTCTATAGGATATGAATACAAGAAAGGCGAACACAAGAAGGTAGAAGAGAAGAATTTGAAAGAGGGAGCTCCTCCCCAAGGTCCTCAAGCCTCTCAAGTTAATCAAGTTCCTCTTCAAGGGAATCATGCTCCTGTGGATCCCCCGGCTATGACAGATGTGGAAGTTAGGTCGGATTTTCTAATATTGACTCAAGCCATGACGACTCAAGCTCAAGCCATGATAACTCAAGCCCAAGCCATGATGGCCCAAGCTAATAGGGAGGTTATTGCTCCGGTCAATGCAAATGTGAATTCAACTGCTTCAAGGATTAGGGTCTTTGCTAGGATGAACCCCCCCCCTCGAGTTTTATGGTTCCAAAAGGGGAGAGGATCCTCATAAGTTTGTGGAAATGGTTTGCAAGATACTTGAAATTATAGGTGTAACTTTGGTAGAGAAAGCGGAACTAGCCGCATATCAATTGAAGAGTGTGGCTCAAGTTTGGTATAAACAATAGAAAGACAATAGGCCGGTAGGAACGGGCCCCAAAGAGTGGGAAGTGTTCAAATCTGCGTTTCTGGCTAGATACTTTTCCCGGGAATTGAGGGAAGCTAAGGTTGAGGAATTCATCAACTTTCGTCAAGGGAACATGAGTGTGAAAGACTA